TAATGCTATATGTTTGATTCAGGTCATAGTATATATAAGTTTCTCTGTCTGTAAAATGATGGGAGCTTTCATATGTGACAATTCCCAAAATCCCTTTTAGCTCTAGCATTCAGTGGAGTATGTAATTTGTTGCCATTGCAATGTACTTCACTAATGAATTTTATTTTATTTATATTAAGCTACAATTTCTTGAACTGGGCATACCGATTGATAGAAATGATACAATAAAATACACATGATTCAAACAAGATGAGCTATTACTCTGAGTGCACCCATCCTGGACATGGAATCCTCAAGCTCAGGCATTTTTTGTTACTTTTGGTTTATCAACAATAATGACTCCTCAGCTTGAGCTCTAAAGCTTTACACAATGTGACTTCAAGCTACTATGATTAATTGAGTTCAAAGATTTTTAAGGAATGTAGAAAAAGCCTCATATTAAGTTGATCTAAAATAATTATTACATAAGCAAGAGACAGAACCTCCCCTTGAATAAAGAAATCCAAACCATACACTTCTTTTTAACCTCTCTCCAAACTTACTTCCCTGCTTTATTCTGATTCAGAGAATTGAAACTACACACATGCATAGCTAATTCTGGATGGCTCACAAATACTAAGGTTTGGTGGTTTCATACCAAGATAGACAAAGAGTTCTGGATGCTTCAAACTAAGAGAAATAAAACTTGGCCACTATTGAATACTCCAATCACCAATAGGTCAGATACCCTAAAATGGGAGTTGGTCAAATGAGGGTAAAATGCCCTCATGCATATTCTTCAATCACTCTAGCCATTTCTATCTGCATGACCTTCTGGATGAGCCACTGGGCCTGCACTACTTATCTTTCTAGGCATTCAAACTATTATTCTATGAATACTGCCATTGCAGTTTGCCTGACCTATTTGTTGGTCCCTTAACTCAACATTCTCTTTATGTTTTTCCTATCTGTAATACTTAGACTTCACTTATTCGGTAGTATTACCTCTTAGAACTGTTAAATTTCTTCCAGGCTCAGTTCAGGTGCCATATCCTAACAAATACCTTTCCTATCATCATCATCATTATCATCATCATCATCATCATCATCATCACCACCATCATCACCACCATCACCACCACCAACATTACTATTATTATCATCATTATCACTCTAGTTGATGGAACTCTCCTCCACCTCAAAAGATTATGCGTTCCCTTATCTGTTTATATATTGATCTACAAATAAATTATAAATTACTCAAGGGCAGAAGCTGTTAATCTAGTTTTTAGCTTTGTTTTCTCAAAAACCCAATATGGTATTTTGCACATGGTAGGTGAGTAATAAATGTTCTTTATTTTGAATTTCATTTAATTATAATTTAGAGGGGGGCAGCTGGGTGGCACAGTGGATAGAGCACCGGCCCTGAAGTCAGGAGGACCTCAGTTCAAATCCAGCCTCAGACCAAACACTTGACGCTTACTAGTTGTGTGACCCTGGGCAAGTCACTTTACCCCAATTGCCTAAAAAGAAAAAGTAATATAGAAGAAAAAACACTGGGTTTATATTTTATGGATCTGAATTCTCTGCAATCCATAACCTTGGACAAGACACTTAAGCCATTTGAACCTCAGTTTCACCATTTTTCAAATGAGAGGGTGGAGTAGGTGATCTCAAACATCCTTTCCAATCTAAATCTTTTGATCTTATGATATAAAGGCTTCATTTTCTATACAATGTAAAAGCATATTTAAAAATTATTTTCAGTTTAGTTCAGCACTACAAAATTCAAGAAAATGATTTCACAATTCTCTATATTTTATGGGAAATAGTTCTTTTTTGTTTTTGATTTTTTTTTAACAATGCTTAGGTATACCATACCTAATACTGTTTAGACAAAATATTCTGCCAGCAGCTACCAGGTTGACAGTCTTGCTGGTCAATAAATATGGGATTCTTAACACAGTTCTTATTTATAATACATTAGCTAGATGATTCTTTCTGACTATGGAAAGAAAATCATTATGTAACAATAAACAGCAACTAACAAGCATTTTTTTTGTTGTTGTTTTTTTACCTTGGGGACAGGTGAGACATGGAGAATGGAAAAGAGAAGACTTTGTTTTTTCTCTGCCCTTTCCCTTGGCCTTTCACCTACCCAATTCATCCAACCCTTTCTTCTTCCATTCTCAAATCAAATATTATCTCTCTTACCTCTCCCATACTCCCAATTCAGTTCCATTCAACAAGCTTTTTACTAAATATCTATCATTTGTCAGTCACTACTATAGGTACTGGGGATACAAAGACAAAATAAAAAGGTACTCTCTGTCCTCTGGGAGTTTAGATTCTACAGGGGGAAATAATAGTTATGTAAACAAGTAAATACTGTATCTATATATTATACTATACATTATAATTATTCTATGTTAGATTATTTGTATTACATATAATATATCATAGATTATGCTATTATTGCATGTCTCTATACACATACATATGTGTGCACATATGTGTGTATGCATACACATGTGTATATACATGCATACACATGTGTATATACATACATACATACACACATACATATATGCAGAGAGAGAGAGAGAGAGAGAGAGAGAGAGAGAGAGAGAGAGAGAGAGAGAGAGAGAGAGAGATGTTTGGGGTGAGGGAACTAGCAACTGGGAGAGAGGGCACCAGGTAAAGCCCCTTGTTTAGGAGGTGGCATTTGAGCTGAGCCTTAAAAGGAAATAGAGATCCCAAGAAGTAGAGGTAAGGAAAGAGAATATCCCAGGCATAAAGGACAGCCTATGCAGAGGCATGAAAGTAGGAAATGGAATGTCCTAAATAGGAAAAGCAAAAGTCCATTTTGCATTCTCCTTATTTCACTTTATATTCTACCTCATACTCTGTGACAGAGACGTATCTTGTACATTTCTTGTTTCCTTTACTACAGATCAAGCTCTATGAGGATAGACACCATGTCTCATTCTAGCTTCAATGTCTCAAGGAGCAAGGAGAGACCTTTCAGGATCAAGACCTGTGGTCACTTAGATGAAGACTCATCCAGTGATCCTGATGCTTTTGGGCCTGACTTCAGTAGGACAAATGCTACATAGAAAGTTCCAAGTCCACTTTCTTTTTTTAAAAAAATTAATTTATTCATTTTTAGTTTCCAACATTTACTTCAAGAAGACTTTGAGCCTCAAATTTTCTCCCCATCTCTCCCCTCCACCACCCCAAGATGAAGTGCATTCTGAATAACCCTTCCCCTAATCTACTCTCCCTTCTATCACATCTCGCCTTCTCTTATCCCCTTCTACTTCTATTTTCCTATAGGGCAGGATAGATTTCTATACCCCATTGCCTGTATATCTTATTTCCCAGTTGCATGTGAAAACAATTTTTATCATTTGTTTTTAAAATTTTGTGTTCCAAATTCTTTCCCTTCCTCCCTCCTGACCCACCCTCATTGTGGCAAACCATTCAATACAGGTTATACATGTATAATCATGCAAAACACTTCCATAATATGGAACTGAATATGTTGTGAAAAACTATTTCCCTTCATCCTATCCTGTCTCATTTATTCTATTCTCCCCTTTGACCCTTTTCCTCCTCAGAAGTGTTTGCTTCTGATTATCTTGTCCCCCAATCTGCCCTGCCTTCTATCATACCCCACTATCTTACCTTCTTCTCCCCTATTTTCCTGTAGGATAAGATAGATTTCCATTCCGAATTGAGTGTGTATGTTATTCCCTCCTTAAGCCAAATCCTTTGCGATTTAAGATTCACTCATTCCCACTCACCTTACCCCATTCTGCCTCTCCCTTTCTCCTCCCAGTATAATCCTCTCACCCTTTAATTTTATTTTTTAGATATCATCCCTTCATCTTCAACTCACCCTGTGCCATCTTTCTTTCTTTCTTTCTTTCTTTCTTTCTTTTCTTTCTTTCTTTCTTTCTTTCTTTCTTTCTTTCTTTCTTTCTTTCTTTCTTTCTTTCTTTCTTTCTTTCTTTCTTTCTTTCTTTCTTATCTATCTACATATATTCCCCCCTCCAACTACCCTAATACTGAGAATGTAAATCATGAGTTACAAATATCATCTTTCCATGTAGTAATGTAAACAGTTCAACTTTAATAAGGCCCTTATGATTTCTCTTTCCTGTTTATCTTTTCATGCTTCTCTTGAGCCTTGTATTTGAAAGTCAAATTTTCTATTCAGCTCTGTCTTTTCATCAAGAATGCTTGAAAGTCTATTTTACTGAATGTCCATTTTTTCCCCTGAAGGATTATACTCAGTTTTGCTAGGTAGGTGATTCTTGGTTGTAATTCTATCTTCTTTGACCTCTGGAACATCATATTCCAAGTCCTCTGGTCCTTTAATGTAGAAGCTACTAAATCTTGTGTTATCCTAATTGTGTTTCCACAATAATTGAATTGTTTCTTTCTGGCTGCTTGCAATATTTTCTCCTTGACCTGGGAATTCTGGAATTTGGCTACAATATTCCTAGGAGTTTTCCTTTTGGGATCTCTTTCAGGAGGGGATGGGTGGATTCTTTCAATTTATTTCTAAGCACCTGTAAATTTTCAGTTCTTCCAAAGTAGTATGATCAAAGGTGATTTATTTACTCCTTTTCTGGCCTGTACTCTGTTCTATGAGTGACCACAAGCACTCTTTTCTGCCTTGGAAGTGTGAGGCAGATTCATTCTACACCACCACCACAAGCTCCACCATGCCAACATTCCTCCTCACGCCAGGACTGCCATCCAGAACTGTGACCCAGATCCAAGTATGAGCAAAGCAGGAATATGCTGCCTCAGCACCAGCAAAGAGATCCCTGCAATCCCCCTCTGATCAGCTGCTTGATCCCCCCACTGCCTGTGGGCTGAGAGCTCTGGTAGCAGCTGCCACCCCAGGGTTGCTCCAGAGCTGGGGCTGGACTGAGCTCCTCTCTCACCAAGGTCCAACAGACCTTTCTAATGACCTTCTATGTTGTTTTTAGCATTTGTGTGTTGAAAAGTCTGGAAACCACTACAGCTGCCCATGATTCAGTCCCCTGAGGCCTGCTCCCACAGTGAGAGGAATGAGATCAGTAGGGGCTTGAGACAACAGAATTAGGTAAGTGACTCTTCAGATCCCTCAGTGGTACTCCTAGAACCCTGTAGGGGAAATGTAGCTGGCCTAGCTCTAGAATAGTAAGTCCACTAACTCACATTTAGTATGACTATATCAGTTTATTAGACAGAAGTTCCTCAACTGCTATGGAAAACATCCATAAATATAGTTCATAAAGTAGAAGGGAAGGCCATGTAAAAGAATTCTGCCCATGCCATTCAACTTGGAAATGTACTTGTGACTTAAGTTGATAATTCTCTTCCTTTAGGATATAGCTCAGCACCCTCTTTTCAAGGAGCCTTTCATGATCCCACCTACCACCCCTGCAAAGTGTTTTTCTCTGTCTCTCTCTCTCCATATGTGTATGTATGTGTGTATTTGTATTTTGTTTTTTGTTGTTGTTCAGTCATTTTCAGTCATGCCTAACTCTTCAGGAACCCATTCGGTATTTTCTTGACAAAGATACTGGAGTGGTTTGCCATTTTCTTCTTCAGCTCATTTTTCCAGATGAAGAAACTGAGGCAAACAGAGTTTAGTGACTTGCCCAGGGTCACAGAGCTAGTAAGTGTCTGAGGCTGGATTTGAATTCAGGAAGATGAGACTTCCTGAATCCAAGTTTGGCACTCTGTCCACTCTGCCACCTTGCTGCCGTATATGTATATGTATATGTATATGTATATGTATATGTATATGTATATGTATATGTATATGTATATGTGTATGTGTATGCGTATGCGTATGCGTATGCGTATGCGTATGCGTATGCGTATGCGTATGCCTATGTGTATGCCTATGTGTACGCGTATGTGTATGTGTATATGTGCATATATACATATGTATATATATACATGCAAATGGATAGATAGATAGATAGATAGATAGATAGATAGATAGATAGATAGATAGATACGCACACATATATTTATATAATGGAATAATTTGGGAAGAAAATACAAAATAGTTTGGGAAGTAGGGCACTAGTACTTTGGATATATATACACACATATATTTAGCATTTCATCTTAATATATACGTACAAATATATGTATGAATATGAATATATAATGCAATGGACATTTAATAAATACTTGTTGGATTAATGAATAAGTAAATTAATGATAGAATGAAGAGGGCATTGGGTTTGGAATGAGGGGAATTAGGTTCAAATACAAGCTCCGACCATCTATAAATAGTAATCTCTGTGACCTTGACAAATTACAGATGTACAGGCAGGTAGGTTGCATAGCAATGGACTTGAAGTCAGAAAGACCTGAGTTCAAATCCCAACTCAAATATTTAGTTTCTATGCAACCCTGAGCAAGTCCCTTAATTATCTCCCAGACTTGATTTCACTATCTGTAAAAATAAGATTTTAGTAACACCAACTTTACAGAGTTGTTTTAAAGATTAAATGAGATAACATATCTAAATCTCTTTGTAAATCTTAAAGTACTATATAAGTAGTAGCTTTATTATTCACTCACATCCCTGGATCTCATTTTTTATCTGTAAAGTATTTGGACCAGATGACCTCTAAGTACCCTCCAACTGTAAATCTATAACCTATAACCTTTGTTTCACCCTATATTTTATTTGGAGGGGTTTGGACAGGCTCTGTTCTGATTGGCTGATGTAAATAGTTAACAACCAATTGCTACACACACACACACACACACACACACACAGACACACACACACACACACACACACACGAGTGTGCACACACATACATACATATATACATATACATATATATGCAAAACATCTTTAAAAGGCATTATTCTATTGTTCTTTCTAGGGTTGTTTCAAAGTCAGGGGATGCCATTACCCCAAAGAATTTGTACGAATACAAATAATATTTGTGGCATATCTATAGTAGAGAAAAGTCTAGGGATTTTTATTTCCATCTTTGAATTAATCAATGGGGGGTATTATTAAATAAAACATTCTAAGCCTCAAACTAATATTCCGGTGAAAACCTCATGGAATTGACTATATGCAATGGAGTTAGGAAGAAAAAAAGCAAACCTACTTTCTTTGGAATTGCATCTACATTTATCATTGTTTTTGTCAAAATGGATCTCCCAAGATACTCCAACAGAATGAGACAGTTTGTTATATCTTGCTTCTCTTACCAAGCAACCCAATAAACTTTGAGCTTGCCGTTTCCAAATTTCTTGAAATATCTGGGCATGTTCTCATAACTCACTGGTAGAAGGTAGAACTCAAATGTGCCCTTGGAGATTTTGTAGGCAGTAGATACCTGTGTGCCAAAAGGCTCAATTTCTAAATCGTGCATGTGTTGCTTTGATTGCTGGAACTGTGCCTTCTGATTACTTGCTTTCCAGCTCATTGGTAGCTCTGCTTTTTGCATTTGAAATTTAATTCTATCTCTCGGTGGACTAGTTGTCTGTGAAAGAAGGAAGGAAATTCATATGCTCACAAACTTCAAGGATCAATCTGGAGAAGATTTGAAATGTTTGCTTAAGCCTTACCTGCTTAATCAGGCTTTTAGCTGATTGCTGGAGACTGTCTGACTATTGGCTTATGCAGTACTGGAGGGCACTTTGGTAAGGCACTCTATGAACTGCTGTTAAAATGTACCTGATTAGCCAGAGCCCTTATTGCTTTTTGTCATATTCTCATATCTGCACTGGCACACAGGAGGCCACATTTAAAGAAACTCTGTTCATGTCACCAAGAAATAATGGAAAAGTGAGAGCACGCACAAGTGTTTAATGGGAAAGCAATGGATTGTGATCAAAGGTTTCATTCATAGTGTATCTTTGACTATAAACAAAGAATCAATTACAAAAACATCACCCAGAGCTGGTAGCTGGATTAGAAGAGGGGAAATTTGCAATATGGTGTATAGGCATCCTTCCACAGTGCAATGGTTGCTTTTTGACCAAAGTAGCTCCAGAGCAGATTTTCATTGAGGTAATCTACTCTTTGTTCTCAGTTATTTTTGTGAAACAAACAGGCAGAGTATTTCCAAAATTGCTGATTGATAGATGAAAAGTACATAATAGAAAGAACAAAAAATATTTTGTGAGTTAATGATTCATCACTTTTTATATTTTAGACATCTTTAAATTATAATAGTACTGCAGCCAGCCATTTCAAAATGTCTTTTTGTTCCACGAGTATGGTTAGAAGAATCAGCCTAACATAATGGATAGAGAGCCTGCCTTGAAATCAGAAAGACCTAGATTCAGGTGTTGCATCTGTCACATACTATCTATGTAAAGCAATTTAGCAGATCTAATGTACCAATAGTGTTTCACAATATATGCAATAGTCCATACCCATAGTCTTCCACATCTACCAGGAGGGGAGAAAAGTATATATATATATATGTGTGTGTGTGTGTGTGTGTGTTGTGTGTGTGTGTGTGTGTGCACGCGCGTGTATATATGTTATATTATATAATGTGTATATATGTATATATGTATGTATGTGTACATACATATATACACGCGTACACATATATGTATGTGTATATGTGTATACGTATGCGTGTGTGTGTGTACATGTACATGTACATGTATATGTATGCATGTGTGTATGTGTGTGTGTGTATTCATCTTTATGAACCTTAAGGACCAACCTTAGTCAAGAGCATTACACAGCTGAATTCTTAACTATAAAGTCATATCAAAAAACGTAACAACTTAGTCAAACAGTTCTGATTATATAGGAACCTAGAAACCCAAGAATCCATTAGTTGGTTGTTTTCTATCACTTTTTAAAATTAAATCATTATGGATAATAAGATATTAAATTCTTAGGCTTATCTAAAAAACATCTTTAAGTTTTGGTAAGATTTAGGAGATTAAGATCAGCAAGTAAAAGCTCTGTCCATTTATTTGAAATATGTTTATAGGAAATAGGTAGCCATATCAAGTTGTAAAGTGAATGTGGTTCATTAATAAGAATAGTTGAATTTAAGTGAAACCAAGGATACATTAATTTAGTATGAATTTTAGCTCATTATTGATGAAATGAAAGCAGTACACATTCAACCATACTAAAGAACCATATTAATATTGAAAATATAAGTACCAGTACAACCAGAAGACAAAAACAATTTCTGGTCAACCTAAGGATAATTCCCAGGTTCTGCTTTGGAAATTATGAAAAAGCTGTTAGAAGAACTGGTTTTACTGTATACCTGATGTAGCAAGAAGCATCCTTTCATGACACTTGATTATCTCTGCTTTGGAATACTGATGACAGCAATACGCAGGAATACCACATGAATAAAATTCTAACTGTTGTACCAACATCTGTTTTAGATTATAAAAAGGTAGGAAAATTCTGTGAAAAACTCAAGTTCCTCCAAACCACACTGATATTTGGTAACTACAATGTGAAGAGAGACACAGGGAGAATGGGGAAAATATCTTTCTAAATGTGGTTCAAGATTAAAAAATAAAGAACCTAAAATCTAAGGAGTTTCAAGCATTTTTATTATGAAATCTTTGTTAAAGATGAAAGTTTTACAATTATAAGATATGATAAGCATTGAATGTCATGTAAAAAAAATAAACTACTTGTCCCAAAACAGACAAGACATAATTGGTAGTCAACAATAAGGGTCAAAAATTGATAACAAAATCTGAGAAAAGGGAAAAATGAGAATACTCAGGTGTTTATGGCATTTCCGATATCATCCATTTAAATAAACTGTTAATATTGAAAAATGAGAAATAGATAAAGGGAAAGACATTGACAAGAAGTTAAGCTTGTAAAAAAGCAATAATTAGAATGAGAAGATAAGAAGGCCTCAGAAACTGTTTCAGCCAGAAAGCAATTCATCTACTTGTCATGGCTGCCAAGTGTAATATTGGTTTATGATATAAACTCATTTGCAAAATATTCCTAAGGATTGTGGAAAATAAGAAGTACTGCCTCACAAAATAGTGAACTACAGTGAAAGAGGAAAAAAAATCCTACTGAAAGCTTAACCTGTGACACAGCTAGGCTAGTCTAAGCAAAGG